GTGGTATATTATTTTTTTGATATGATGCTGAATTCTATTGGCTAGAATTTTGTTGAGAATTTTTGCATCTATATTTATGAGAGATATTGGTCTGTAATTTTCTTTTTTTGTGACGTCTTTGCCTGGTTTTGGTATCACACTCCCCAAAACCAAAGACAAACACCCTCATTCTTATGTAGGCATGGTTGTGGGTATTTCTACATACATATTTGTAAGTGTAGCATGTATATTCATATATTTAATGGAGCACATAATGGAACCTTCTTAGACATAACCAAATATCTTGCGGGACTTAACTATTGGGCTTTAAGGCTAAGGACCATAGTTTCGGGGGTCATCTAGGTCAGTTGGCATAGCACAGTTCATAAAGCTAATGCTCTGCATCCTACTCTGGTGAGTAGTGTCTGGGGTCTTAAAAGCTCAGAGCTGTCATCTATGATGCTACTATTGGTCTCTTCCCATCTGGAGCAAAGGAGAATGAAGAAAACCGAAGACTCAAGGAAGCAATTAATCCAAGGGACTAATGGCCCATGTGAACCACAGCCTCATCTAATCTGAGACCAGAAGAACTAGATGGTGCCTGGCTACCACTACTGACCACTCTGACTTGGATCACAATAGAAAGTCCTGGTTAGAATGGGTGAAAAACGTAGAACAAAACTCATAAAAAAGAGCAGACTGACTGGTCTGATAGAAGCTAGAGGAACCCTCAAGACTGTTGCCCTGAGACAGTCTTCTAACTGGAAACTGAAGACACTCCTGGAGGCCACCTCTCAAGTAATAGTCTGGCCTATAAAATAAAAATAACACCCGTGAGGAATGTGCTCCTTAGAATAAGCAACTGTACTGGAACAAAAGGGCATCATTTGCCCAAAAGCAAAGATGAGAAGGCAGGGAGGGGCGGGGAAACCAAATGAATGGTAACAGGGAACCCGGGGAGGAAATGGGGAGACTGCTGACACATTGTGGGGATTGTAACCAACGTTACGGAACAATTTGTGTATGAAATATTGATGGGAAAACTAATTTGCTATGTAAACTTTCACCTAAAGCACAATAAAATGTTCAAAAATAAACAGTGCAAGAGAGAATTTTGATCTTCTTTCATATGGATGGCAGTCCCTAGATGGCACAAACAGTTAAGCACTTGGCGATTAACCAGAAGTTTGGAGGTTCGAGTCCACCAGAGACTCTTTAGAAGGAAGTCCTGGTGATCTACTTCTGAAAGATCACAGCCATTGAAAACTCTGTAAAACACAGTTCTCGTCTGAAAACTCACAGCATGGGGTCACCATGAATTGGAGTCGACTTGACAGCAACTGGTTTGTTTGTTTTTTCCATATGGGTACGGAATTATGTCTGGTTTTACAGAGGTAGCAATTATAAGAAAAATTATAACATAAGAAAAAATTATAAGAAATGTTTTTGGACAAAAGAAATGAAGGCAAACCTTGACTAACTGAAGGCTAACACAGATAACAGAAAAGCCATAGCATGTGGCTTCTCCAGGACCAAAGGAGCATTATCTGGGAATGAGAGTATGAAGACCTTGCAGTCATTCCTGTGTCATTTATTCTCACTTGGAACAGTATCTGCTAGTATCTGGATATAAGCAAGGCGCTTGTCTGTTGGGCAAGGTTGATATCTACCACCTTTGCTCCAAAAGACTTAGGTAAAATGATTGTTAACATCGACAAAGTGGTTGGATCACAAAGTTCACATTTAAGTTAGTACTGGTATTCAGATAAATGCTGATAAGAAGATTTAGTCTAGAGTTATGCTTCAGTTTTAATCTGCGATTGTACCAGTTTTTCATAGAGTATGGATAGAGGGTTTTCATTTAAGCATAGATTGGAGTTTGATTTAAGAAAAGTATGTAACTTGGGAAACAAAGGGGCTTAACTGCATCTGGGGGAAAAAAGAAAAATATCCCACCAAGAGTTTGCTGTAATTCAGAAAAACTGTTTCACATCTTTTTTTTTTTTAAATAATTTATTGTATTTTTGTTGTTACTGTTGAGAATATACACAGCAGAACATACTGTTCCACATCTTAAATGGATTCGTTAGGAGTCCAACTTGAACATTGTATGTGGAATGGGCCCAGATGCTGATGGCATTTTTTGGGAGTCTCAGGATTCTCAATGTGCGTAGATTAAGGACTGGACTTTCCTGTGAACTCTGGGAAAAGCTGCCTCCTGCCAGCCAAGTTTGAATTTGCTGGCCTTCCCCTTCCAACTTGAGTCTTTGCCTCCCATACAGCTTGTTACAATACTAGATGCCCCAGTGAATCCATCTTCTCTCTTCACTTTTTGCTGGTTTTGTTCTAGCTTTTCCCTAGACTATGGAGTCCAGGCTGGTGGAGGCCTGGGGAGCCACTTCTGATCCAGTTAGTCTCCAGAGGTCTGGCCTAAGTCTGGAGGAGGAGGAGGAATCAGTCATGGACTCCTGAGGTGAAGTTGACACAAGGTGCAGTCTCTGAGACAAAGAAGGCTCGTCTGTAGAGTGCTGACTTGGAGTAACCCAGGTTCTGAGGGTGTACTTCCTGTTGTTGGTAGCTCTGTATTTCACAAGGCTGTTTTGTTGCTGGGTAGCTCACACTGTTACAAAGTTCTCTTTGTGCTGAAGTGACATGTGCCTCTCTAGAACTTCAATCCTGGTGTCCTGGAGCCATGGAGAAAACATCTACTTACACCCATAGATCTTGCTATGCTTGAAAGGCCTCTCGTTTTTTGTTGATCCTAAAAACTCCAGGTTCACTCAACCATTTCTCATAATATCATTGTCTTCAGCCTTTTCTCCAACCTGGCCGCTATTGTCTGAATTTCATGCTTTGCCCTTGTTGTTCTGTGGTCCTGAGACTGAACACAGTGGTCCAAATGTAGACAGACTAGCACAAGATTGGATGGATTACTGGCTGCTTTCCTGGAATACTGCTTTTCTGGTAATGTAACCTAAGAGTACATCAGCTCTTCAGAAATAATATTAGCAAGTGCCATTAATTGGACAGTTACTATTTTCAAGGCCACATGCCAAAGTGCATTATATATCTTTATGTCATTTAATCTTCACACTAATGCTATGAGGTCAGCATTACTTTTGTACTTCCTTGACTCTAAGACACTATTAATGGCAAAACACATCATCAATTAAAGTTCAGATTTTTAGGGAAAAATAGAGGAAATACCCATCAGATTAATGTAGACATAAAATGTAATAATAATAATAAAAAAATCCAAACCTGTTGTTGCTGAGTCAATTCTGACTTACAGCAACCCTATAGGACAGAGTAGAATGCCCTATAGGGTTTCCAAGAGCAGCTGGTGGATTCGAACTGCCGATCTTTGGGTTAGCAGCCAAGCTCTTTAACCACACGACACCAGGCCCCATAAGATATAATAGTTATGCTAATTTCAGAAAACTTAAATTTTTTTACGGGAGGTGGGGAAGAGGAGGCAGAAAGTACAACTTAGAATCAAGGAAATATGGTAACTCCATTTCACAGATGAGGAAAACAAGACTTAAGGAATTTAAGTAACTTGCCACTGTCCGTAGAAGAGAGAACCAGGATTCAGACCCAGCTCTGCCTCACTATGCAGCTGTGCTCCCAACCATTCACTCTATTTCCTATCAAGTTGCCCTAAAGTGAAGTTCGTTCATGCAGAACACTTGTTGTTGATGTCGTTAGTTGCCATAGAGGTAGCTCTGTCTCCTGGTGACCCCATGTACAACTGAAGGAAACGTTGCCCAGTCCTGCACCATCTTCAGGATCCTTGGCATGTTTGAGTCTGTTGTTGTAGCCATTGCCTTCCAACCTAGGGGCTCATCTTCCAGCATTATATTGGACAGTATCCTTTTGTGATCCATAGGGTTTTCGTTGGCTAATTTTGGGAAGTAGATCTCCAGGCCTTTCTTCCTAGTCTGTTTTAGTCTGGAAATCCCACTGATACCTATCCACCATGGGTGACTTTGCTGGTATTTGAAATACCTGTGGCATAGCTTTCAGTTACTTGCAAGCCATCACAGTAGAACTCCTCCAAAATTTCCAGGGCTTTCTCACAAGAACAGCTTTCAATCTGGGCAACTCCCAGCCTGTATTTGTACGTGTTTTTAAACCTAAATGCAGCTGTCTATACTAATCCTATTAAATGTCATTTCTTGTTTGGCAAACAACTTTCTGTGTGTACCTTTCTGCCTACTCTGAAAGTGTGCTTACTAGGTCAAAAAGTATAATATGTTTTTGTGGCTCTACAAGCATATTGCTAATTTATTTTCTAAAAGTGGTCTGTCCATTTACAATACCACCAGCAATGTGGTTGGTTTAGCACAATTGTTATTAGTTTTAAACACAATCCATTACTGGTCTCATTTGGATTGGGAATTTGGGCCTGTTGTGGGAAACTCCTGAATCTGATTCTCTCCTGGGCTTCTTTGGGCCTCCAAAAGCTCCCATCCTAGGCTAACTTAGGCCCTCAAGATTACCTAGTCAGCATGCCTGCAGTCCTTAGTGTAGTTAGGCTGTGCCTCCCTGTGTCTGTGGCCTCTAGACTCAGCTGAGTCAGCCTCCCTGGAGCTCCACGGCTCTAAACGCTGCTCTGTCTCCCGCTTGCTCTCTGACATTGAGCCTGCTAACTTCCTTCTCTTTCCTTTATTGTAAAACCCTGGGCTATTTGATGCAGTTTATGGGTAAATCTTGGAATCCAGAGACTGATTCATGAAAGTTACAGAATAAGAGCGTTGAAAATTAAAAGCAGTTCTTTTTATAGGAAGTGGAAGGAGGGCCATCTTGCAATCTTCTAGGAGATATCTAGATGATTAATTAGTAAGAAATCCATTCTGATTGTTCTAATTCTCTCTAGATCAAGACAGGGCAGAAGTAGAAAGTGTCAAGAATGTATAATTTAAGGCTTTAAGGAAAGAACCTGCCTAATAGACTTCAAATGACAAAAAAGATAGAACTAAGGAAGAGAATGAATTTCTGTCTGTGTGCTTATGTCATTTTTTTATGCTCTTAGCTCCAGGAAGCATAGATCTATAACTAGGAATAAATGTGATTTATTTTTTTATTCTTAAAATGAGAATAAAGAGAAAAGTCAAATATGCATCCTTTTACTAAGACCTCTTTTATTTATGTGCAGAACCTTTATAGATGAAGTGATTGGGGTTTTATAACCCTATTTAAACAGGCAAGAAATACTGAGTAAAAATTAACTATATCAGGTGCTACTTTAGATACTGACTCATAGTCTAACCTAACTCATCTCTCTTGTGAGAGGACAGTAACTATCTTACACTTCTCAGCTAAAAATGTGAGTCACTTTCTGTCTGGATAAGATGTGCCACTAAAAAAAAAAAAAAAAAATCAAACCATAAACCATATTGAAATAACTTGTTTAAATCAAGTTTAAACTCAAGTTTAAATTGAGTTTAGTGTTGTATGTGTGCTCAAAATATGTTAACATTCAAAAAGTAAAGTTACCTTAATAAGAAGTGACTCCTGGATTGGAAAGGAAGGTTGTAATATCATATAGATCTTGAGTTTTATCAAGCGCTACTCTGCCCGATGAGTGATTCAGTATTTGCTAGAGACAATGTATGTTTATTTGCTACATGATACATACATTTGAGAAGCCAATACTAAAGACAGATTTGGGGGTTTTAGAAGGGAATGGAACTGTAGATACACTCCCCATATATTCAGTTATTGCATCTATAATCAGTTCTCTAGGGATCTTTCTAAGTCCTTTATAAATATTTGGTATCATTATCCAAGTGAACAAAAGTCCTGATAAAGCTATAGCAAGATAGCTTTGCTCTGAGTCTAATGCTTATGCCGTATTTTCCTTCTCAGACCTTTTTCCCTCCTGTCAGAGTAAGCATATCATTTTTGAGCTCGTCTAAACCAGTGCCTTTCAAACTGATGTGCACATGGATCACTTGGGTATCTTGTTAAAATGCAGATTGTGCTTCTGGTGTGTGGCCAAGATTCTGCATTTCCAACAAGCTCCTGTGTGATGTATATGCTGATGTGGTGGTCCATGGAACACGCTTAGAGTAGCAAGGGTCTCAGCTGAAACAGGTGGTGGGAAGAAGCGAATGATAAAGAAAACATTAAATGGAGGAGCCTCATATGTTCACTGATGACTCTGATGACGGCGGCTGGTGCCCAGTGGAGTTTAGGGAGGCAGAGTGCACGCTGATTAAGAGCCTGGGGCCCTGCAGTCCTCCCTCTGCCACCCAGCAGCTGAGTCACACGGGCTTTTTTTTTTTTCTTTTCTTTTTTATTGTACTTTAGAGGAAGGTTTACAGAACAAATAGTTTCTCGTTAAACAGTTAGTACACATATTGTTTTATGACGATGGTTAACAACCCCACGACATGTCAACACTGTCCCGTCTCAACTTTGGGTTCCCTATTAACAGCTTTCCTGTCCCCTCCTGCCTTCTAGTCCTTGTCCCTGGACTGTTGTGCCCCTTTAATCTTGTTTCGTTTTATGGGGCTTCACACGGAAATTTTATTAATCTCCCTAAACCTCAGTTTCTGAATCCGTGATATGCAGATAATATGAAAGCCTACTCTACAGGGTTATTGTGATTATTAAGTGATACAGTGCATGAAAAAGTCCTTAGTAAGTGCTTCCTAAATGTTTACTATTAAACCTACTGCCGTGGAGTTGATTCTGACGCATAGCAACTTTGTAGGATTTCCAAGGCTGCCCCATCTTTCTCCCAAGGAGCGGCTGGTGGGTTAAAACTGCCGACCTTTTGGTTAGCAGCTGACCGCTTTAACCACTGCACCACCAGGGCTCCTCTGTTAGCTATTAATAGTAATAACTCAGAAAGCATTAATTGTATGCCTATTGCATGCCTGACATGTTAAGGCAGGTGTGTAACTTTTAAAAGCCAACTCCTTAATCTCAACTGGGATTGAACTGGTTAATTTGGGAGTCCCCAGAATTGAGATTTGAATCTAAAACTTTTGACTCCAAGGCTTTTCTGCCTGATTCTGTCTACATGCTCAACAGCTGTTTCTAATGTTGGGGTAGCCATATTAAAGCTGGTTTCCGGTAGCTTTAATTAAGTGAAACTTATACGTTGAGTCACGGTAGAACTAACATGTCCTAACTTTTAAAACCAAAAGTGAGTTATGTTTGAGTCATTGGGTTTGAGGGAGTTAACTCAGGTTTTTCTGTTTTATTTATTAGCTGAACAGTTTTGCTTATGAACTGATCTGAGTAATATTAAAGGTACAGTCATAATCAATTTCTAGTCTGATGGATCAAAAAAATTCTGAGCATATACACTGCCTTCCACCTCGGGCATTTACCTTTTAAAGTGATTTCAAAAGGCACCTGTGCAGGAACTAACTTGCCTTTCTGACGGGGACTAAACATTTGCACCTTGCCTCTTTTCCGGCCATCACCCATCACAAACGCATATGTGACAATGAGGATCTGGGTAGTCCTGCTT